CTACTATGTCACTCACAGTTTGCAGAATAGAGCTGCGCATTTCTCGAGTCACAATATATTGTAAATAGTAACTAAGGCGTGCATCTTTCCAACCCGGAAGTACGTTCAATGATTTAGGCTCAACACGAGCGGGATGCGGTTTGATCTACCCACTGATATGTGGGCATGTTAAAGTCATGTTGCATACCATTCACAATTTCATGCCAACTCTCTCTCTCTCTCTCTCTCTCTCTCTCTCTCTCTCTCTCTCTCTCTCTCTCTCTCTCTCTCTCTCTCTCTCTCTCTCTCTCTCTCTCTCTCTCTCTTCCAAATGTTTGTCTCTCTCTCTCGTTCCAAATGTTTGTAATACAAACAATAAGAGTTGTTAGAAACGTGCAGATTGCGATTTTAAAATGCATATTTCAACAATACCAAAGGTAACAAACTCAGTCAATGTTGATAATGACATCGACAATACCAGTGAACGGTAACAAACTCCCACTTCCTCACCCGTTATCTAGTTGTGTGAATCAGTTTGAGTCCTGTGGATGACAAACCTGTGTTACACAGGGACGTGTAGCGATCCCCTCTCGTGCTACGATGTGAAACAGTGTGAGCACCCAGACTGTACTTTAGATGAACCAGTAACGCATACTCCTCTGAAGTCTTAGTAACAAATGTATCAATGAAGAAATTGCGTTCCACCCTCGTTTAAGCCTGGTTGTTACATTTGTTTGAGTGCCATTCTAGAAGTTGGTGGTATAGAGATGACACAACTTTAGGGATATCATATGCTTGAAAACGGTGTAAGAATCTATACCGAAACGTCGCCATTGCGAAAATAAAGATGTTGGTCATCCATAACGATTCGTCATCTCTGGCTGCTACGCTTGGTTACAGAGAAAGTCACAATGTAACTGTAATTGTGTTGACATGAACAGAGAATACTTTACTCGTGGGATACCATGGAAGATGAACGAGTTCCGTTAACACGGTATCTAATGGGTGGGTGTGTTAGTTTGATCAGCCAATTCAAATGACGCATGTAAATATATATGACAATGTCTGTTTGTTCTAATGAAACACGTCGTCATATGAGCGAAATAGTCTCAAGCACGACGTAAAACCCAATTTCACCTCACCTCACCTCTAATGAAATAAACTGACGAGCAAAAGAAAGTACACAGGTGTAATTGTTTTGCAATCCCAAATATGCGTTCTAACTAATAAAATTATGGAAAAACATTGATTGTATAGAACGCAACCATCATGTTTCATTTGCCAAAATGCAACCAAAAACATTTGTACGTGTTTTGCACGAATTTTTGCAAAATTGTGATCATTGCCCCATGCACCAGCACTTTTCTGACAGAGAGTATAAAACCTGTTTGTCGTGAAGACTAAACAATCACTTGAGAGAAATCTCACGAGGAAATGCCAAGATTGACGTCGGCGCAACGAGAACGGGCCAAAGGAATGACACAAATGGGTGCCTTCAACAGCGATAGTGCAAGGACATTGGGTTGCACAAGACAAACCATAATTCGGCTGTTTAACCGTTTCAGTACGACAGGCCAGACATGTGATCGACCCAGCTAGAAGTTGACGTTCCAGAGTCACAACACCCCAAGAGGATCGCTATCTGCGGGTTATTCACCTACGCAACTGGATGTTGACGGTGACGTCATCAGCAGCCACATCATTGGGTCATCGCGTAAGCCGACTCACAGTGACAAGACGACTTCGTCCTGCTGACATGTATGGGCCTACCGACCGCTGCGTGGAATGGCCTTGACCTTCCAGTATCGTAGGAACCGTCTGCAGTGGTCATCACTACATCGCTGTTTATTGTTACAATGTCATTTTGCTGGTAAAACACGTGTATTGCAGAGAGCTTCAACATACATTTTCCATTTCATCAAAAGGTTTTGTTATTTTTATCTTATTGGAAGAAACACAACCTGTGTACTTTCTTTTGCACATCAGTTTACATGTACTGTTGCAAATCCGGTAGCGTATGAATATTGATATGTACTTTTCAACGTTTGCTAAGAATCAAGTTTTGATTATATCAAACATTAATCCAGCAGATAAAGATTAAAATATCCCGGTACACGATGATAGGTAACCCCTACTGGACCTCAGTTTCAAGATGAACGAGCTGCAGATTGCCTTCTCCGGACATCCTGTCTCCCAACAACCCTTCGGTTTTGTTACTTTGTTATGTAACGTCGAACTCAGAAGTATTCCAGCTATATGGCGGCAGTCTGTAAATAATCCAGTCTTGACCAGACAAGCCAGTGATCAACAGCATGAGCATCGATATACGCAGTTGGGATACGATGACATGTGTCAACCAAGTCAGGGAGCCTGACCACCCGATCACGTTGCTCGCCCCTCACGGAATGCATGGGTTGCTGGAGACCAATTCTAACCCGGGCCTTCACGGGTTCCAACAGCACTACAGGAGCCCAGCAATGAAGAGCGAGACAATCATCCATTGGCAATCGGAGATGATGGCGCTTGGATGTAATCTTGTGTGTTTTAAATATGGGTCTGTTTCTGTGATTTGCTGACGTTTCAATTTCGGTCAGATACTTTAATTTTGACATGTCATCTGAGTGATTATTGCTCACATGCTGTTAGTCATTGTCATGTCAGACCACAGACTTCACGCCATGTTGACTGTGGTTATCTCAACACATACACTTGATTAGATTATTTCCTTAAAAGGTCATCAATAACATAGAGAAGCATACGCTCAAACATGGACGATGTGAACATGTCTGTTTACACTAGTGGTGGTCCGATTAATTAAAATAATCGAAGATAAGTCGCAGTGACTAAACGACCAAGCAATCGATTATGTTTTCTCATAATCGAATGCAAACAATTCTTGAAACACTTGTTTTCATAAACAATATTTTTCACAAGGTTGGTTTTGTCTGTTACATTTCATAAGCACTACAAGCTCGTTTCAAGTCATGATTGAATTTATCTTAAAGACTCCAAGAAATGTATGCTCCTGGCATACTAGTCATCCTTTAAAGAAGTGAAATTTTGCCAAAAACACCCCAAAAGAACTACATGTTTTTTCCTTATATTTATGTGCTTTAACAAACATTAATGACGCTAACCAATTTGTTTCGATGATTGATCGGTTGTAATAAACCAATCATCAATTATGAGATTTTAACCAATTCCCAACACTAGTGTACACACATTAATCAAGGGTTCTTTGTTCTGTTACGCCCATTAATGATTTTATGAGCACTTCAGTCAGTTTACCCTAATAGAGTTACCTCCCCCGGTGGGACTCTTCCGGAGAAGATAGACTTGTGATCCCTCACAACATGATGTCGTCTGCTTTCAGCAGCTCATATTTATAGGAACCAATTAACCAAGGTTAGACAATTACACAGTCCCCCCAGTGGAAGTTTTATTCCCTTTTATCTCTGTAAGGTTTTTGCCACTTTCACTATTACTTTTAGTCAGGAAATGAGCATTAAATGTAATTTTAAATGTTTTGAACTTGTTCTGTGTTTTGGCTCCATTAGCGGAGGTCACACATTTTTACTTCACTGAAAATATGATTTTATATTTGAATTCTCTCTTTATTAATTATTGATGTAGGAATCATTTCCATGAATTAAATGCATTCTTGTTTCATATTAGAATGTCTAAATAAGCTTAAACATTTTGTACAGTTTTATTTCAATGACCTTTTGAATTAGTCATTACTGATTTATCTAGCCACTATTGTAGAACTAATTCGAATCCATTTCAGTCTTTTATACAAGACTGAATAACTGGTTGTACATTCTTGCCATTAGGTGTGCTGTTATTTATCAACTTCAATATTTACGTTTAACTTCAACTAAAGATAGTTTGCATGGAACTAATGCGACTCAACACAACGCCAAATAGGGGGTCTCCTAATCTCAGGTACTCTGACACCGCCCACAGCCTCACTATTGTTTTACAACAAAGTACTCCTCATCTCGGGTGTCTTGGGCGCCAAGTAGGTACGCGTTTTATAAGTACCGCCATCTTCACTGGGACAATACCATGTCAGGGCATCTTGTACCTAAATATAGAATGTGACCTGGGCTGGGAGGGAACGTCTGTATTCAAAGCCTTGTAGGTGTGGTCAGGGTGAGTGTTCGGACATATGTCTGTGCCACACCTCCACGGTGTTCACTGTGTAGTGTTGTAGTCGGCCGTGTCTCCTGTCTGTATTCACGTAGTGTGGTGTCTCTGTACCTCCACGGTGTTCACTGTGTAGTGTTGTAGCTGTGTAGTGTTGTAGGCCGTGCATCTTGTACCACTGTCTGTATTCACGTAGTGTGGTGTCTCTGTACCACCACGGTGTTCACTGTGTAGTGTTGTAGTCGGTGTTCGTGCATCTTGTACCACTGTCTGTATTCACGTAGTGTGGTGTCTCTGTACCTCCACGGTGTTCACTGTGTAGTGTTGTAGTCGGCCGTGTCTCCTGTCTGTATTCACGTAGTGTGGTGTCTCTGTACCACCACGGTGTTCACTGTGTAGTGTTGTAGTAGGCCGTGTCTCCTGTCTGTATTCACGTAGTGTGGTGTCTCTGAACCTCCACGGTGTTCACTGTGTAGTGTTGTAGTAGGCAGTGCCTCTTCTATCACTGTCTGTATTCACGTAGTGTGGTGTCAGTGTACCACCACGGTGTTCACTGTGTAGTGTTGTAGTAGGCTGTGTCTCCTGTATCCCTGTCTGTCACGTAGTGTGGTGTCTGTACCACCACGGTGTTCACTGTGTAGTGTTGTAGTAGGCCGTGTCTCCTGTATCCCTGTCTGTATTCACGTAGTGTGGTGTCACTGTACCACCACGGTGTTCACTGTGTAGTGTTGTAGTAGGCTGTGTCTCCTGTATCCCTGTCTGTATTCACGCAGTGTGGTGTCTCTGTACCTCCACGGTGTTCACTGTGTAGTGTTGTAGTAGGCCGTGTCTCCTGTCTGTATTCACGTAGTGTGGTGTCTCTGTACCTCCACGGTGTTCACTGTGTAGTGTTGTAGTAGGCCGTGTCTCCTGTATCCCTGTCTGCATTCACGTAGTGTGGTGTCTCTGCACCCTCCACGGTGTTGACGTACTGCCTCGGAGCCATGGCGTATTGGTGATCGACGTCATCGTACGCTGATGTAGAGGCGTATACGTTTGTAGCTTGGGCATCTGAAACAAATAACACTTCAAATGTTACTTCAAGTACGGAGAGTATTTTATGACAAATTTCCGTTTACGTCACTCGTGTCCTAGCATGTTTAGTGTACAAAGCATTCTTGTGTTTTTGACTGTCTAAGTCATTCTCATTCTTGTTTTTTTGTGATAACATCATGCATGTAACACCTATAACAAGGCATGTTCCACACCTTTGGTCTTGTTCTTGTTGTGCGTCCACAGGGCGACGACAACGACAGTGACGACGCTGCCGAACACAGCACCGCCAACAGTTCCAGCTGCTACGTAGACGCCACTGGGGGAGGTAACACACGCTGTAAATGGGAAACAACAGTCACTATCCTGGGTCAAAATTCGAATTTTGTTAGGGCTCGGGGCTCACGCTACCAGAACAGAGTCGGAATTACAATCAGTGAACGGTTTCCCAACACGTGGACACAAATATCTCCCCGAATCTGTTGTCGTGCTCTATGAATGAATACTACAGACATTAATGACCATAACAGTGTTAAACTGAGTAGATGTAACATTGCTCAAACATACTACACAATCTAAACAATAAACATAAAACAACATGGTAATCGTTTAAGTGTATATACTTTATTATTATAATGTATGCAATTTTAAACAATGTGAAAACGTATCACTCCAGTTGTTTTAAGTCATTGCATATGTTTAACTGGTCAACTACACAATATGGAACAGTATATGTAACTCTGGTTAAAGTTATACAACATTCTCGGTGTCTTCAATGATGGTCAGTTCTGTGACAATCTTGTAGGTTGAGCTCCTGATTTCAGAAGAGATATTGATAACTTTTAACAATTGATTCACTTTTCTAGTACTTTTTCTGTTATTATTATATGCCACATTTCTTTAGCGCCCTATATGACCTACTTCCAGATCACTCTAAGGCGCATCACAAGTTGTTTTCCCCTCGATTATTGGATGTCAGTCTCAAACGTCACATTACATTATCAATCGCAACTCCCTGGGGCATCATACAACTCTTGCAGCCACTAGGCGCACCGAGTTAATGTGACTTTCGCATCCTTACTAGGTACCCATTCACAGCTGGGTGGACTGGGACACATAGTCACAGTACTTTGTCCAAGTTTACTGCACATTGCTGCACTCGCAACTAAGTGTTTGAACGTATTCATGTGGCCACCATCTGGTCATATACCACCGGATTGGGTTGTTTAAGTACTGTACACTAAGGGTTGTGACAACACTGAGAGACTCTGCACACAGAGTTGTGCACTGTACACTAGGGGTTGTGACAACACTGAGAGGTTCTCACTACACTGAGAGAGTCTGCCGGTCACAGGTTGGCACTGAAAGAGTCTGCACACAGATACTGTACCGGGGTTGTCAAGCTCGTTGGATCACTAGCCTCGCGCCTTAGACAGCTCGCCCACCACGCCCACGAAATATGTTTTGTTTTACTTGTCCAGCAGATCTGGGTTTTATCTGAAGGTAAAGCCAGCGTCCGTTACGAGCCTACCTGGACATTGCTGTGTCGTTGTCACAGGGGGAGTACTGATGGACATACTAGTGTCACCTGGGGAAACTGTTGACGCAGACGATGATGATGTTGTGGTTGTTGTAGAAACTGTAGAAACTGATGCAGAGTGTGTTGACTGGTGAACAGTCACATCTGAAGCAAAGGGGACAAGTTAATAAGTACCAAAAGGTTAAAACTTTCCGTCTTAGGCACATTCTGTTAGAGAGCGAATGAGTGAGTGGTTTACGTCATTAAAGGCACAATGTCACACAATAGTTTGGCCTATATTATATATACTACAAACAAAAAGTATGGGAACACCCTACAATTTGATAGTTATATATAAACCTAAACGTGGTGAGGTCATTCATACTCTAAGGTAAATGCAACGTTTTGTGTGCTTAATGGGTACTTTGAACGACATGTTGGAAAAACATGCAGTGAAGCAACTGATTCAATATTCTTAGAGGTTCAGTGTAATGACTCATTGTCAAAAACAGCGAAAAACAAGGGTGCTAAAACACACCAACACCGTGTTTGATTCATAGGTCCAAACACAGCAGCCTAGTGCATGTGGAAGTCAGACAGACAGACAGACGGCGGGGGGGGGAAAGAGAGAAAGAGAGGAGAAGAAGAGAGTGTGTGTGTGTGTGTGTGTGTGCGTGTGTGTGTGTGTGTGTGTGTGTGTGTGTGTGTGTGTGTGTGTGTGTGTGTGTGTGTGTGTGTGTGTGTGTGTGTGTGTGTGTGTGTGTGTGAGAGAGAGCATCCTAGGGCTGATATTTTTCCCTAATTTGTGTACGCCAGCTACGTATATACCGCTAGCTAAGTATATACCGCTGACCAATCAGCGTGGTCCGTCTGTAAAATACACAGCAGCTGCTCATCCATTCTGTTATTCAAAATGTTGGTGACCTAGGCAGTTCCGATATTCCAGGACAGTGTCACAGTATGCACTCTCTTCTCTTATTTATCTCTGAAATAACGTTCTTTGATGTCAGCGTCTAAATCGCGTACTTTATATTACACATCTCTATCCCCCTGAAAGTAAACCTGTGTATACATGTAGCAATGACACAACACCCTGTAATCACTGTGTCGTTTATATTGACAGTAAACGAGTCGAGAGTACACATGTAACGGATACTGATCAGGTGCAAAGGTATGTATTCTCTCCAAGCGGAAAAGGGCCCTCATTCCTATAAATACTTTGATATGTTGACCTAATGTGAATGCCAGAATACCTTCGAAATATTCCAGAATAATGCACCAAGGAGTGAGTGAGTGAGTATGGTTTTACGCCACTTTTAGCAATATTCCAGCAATATCACGGCGAGGGACACCAGACATGGGCTTCACATATTGTACCTATGTGGGAAACCGAACCCTGGTCTTCGGCGTGACGAGCGGGCGCTCTGGCCACTAAGCTACCCCACCGGCCCTTGTACAAAGGAAGTGAGATGTAGGGATTTGTCCCGGTCAGTGTCACCATCCTCATCTTGATTCATAGGTCCAAACACAGCAGCCTAGTGCAAGTGGAAGTCAGACAGACAAACAGACACGGGGGGGGGAGAGAGAAAGAAGAGAGAGAGTGTGTGTGTGTGTGTATGTGTGTGCGTGTGCGTGCGTGTGTGTGCGCGTGCGTGCATGTGTGTGTGTGTGAGAGCATCCTAGGGCTGATATTTTTCCCTAATTTGTGTATGCCAGCTACGTATATACCGCTAGCTAAGTATATACCGCTGGCTACGTATATACCGCCACTGATGACCTCTCCTGGTACACACACACTGCACATTTTGAATAAAAAAGTACTAGCAGTGCATCAACTAACAAAATCCTCTGGCACAAAGATTCCTAAAACCAAATATGTGATAGCAAAGTCTTTTAGTACAGCCTGGATCCTTCAGTCATAGCACATGGCTTGTATGCATTTACTTTCCACTTTCGCCTTCATCTTCATCTTATGTATTTGACACATTATCGGATAGGGTTCCCACCTGTTCCTGTGATTTCCTGAACTGTTCTGTGGGTAATTATGTTGTTAAAATCATTAATCAACCTCACTGCATGAATGAAAGCAGTTTCATTTGATTCATTTGACATGCATGTGAAGCAGTATAAAAGCATTCGTGTGGCATACATGTAAAAACGCCTATCGCATCCTGTCACACTCATTAACCTTTGAAGTAATTTTGCACTTAATATGCAAATTTTGTGATCTAAACAGTTTGCCTGGAATATAATTCTGTCAACAATAAGAAAACATTCAGCCTTGCTTTGCATTTGTTTGCCAAAATGCTTGTAAAAAGTAGCCCTTCACGCAAAATCTAAAAGTCGCTCCATAAGGGAAATATTTGCAAAAATACAAATTTTTTCCTTCAGCATTTCCATGAATCCAACATTTTGAAATCCTGTGGTAACATTATTAATCAATATATTGTAAAAAGAGTTCATTGTATGGATGGAGAATGATAAATAAAACATTTTTTTTTAAATTTGGATTTTGCACTCATTGACCTTTGACCCCAATTTGTGACCTAATTAGGCATTTTTGAGCTTAGCAAACAACAGATTCGTATTCAGCACGAAAAACTACCCTAGAAAATGCTATTTGCTGGCTTTTACTCAAAAATGCCTCATGCATCATTAAACTCCACATTTCTTAGAAATGTGACGAGACGATAAGCGGGTGAGTTGTGACAGGCGCTGACAGTCTAAGGGAGATAACTTTAGCTACCTGAAGTTAGAATTAATGCAGACACTATCAGTGAGTTGGGATATATGCACGGCAACTGGTAAGTAAATCTACATTATTGAAGCAGTTTTGTACATCTCACCAGGATATCTGGTGGTTTCAGATTATGTTGATGTACAGATATTGTAGAAACAGCCGTTTTGCGTCTGGTTACAGAATGTATGTTGTAACAGGCTGTGCTGAAGACTGATCTTTCAGTTGGGGGAATGTCCAAACTGATGCATGTCTTGGGTGTTTATTTTGTTGTCGACCAACGGCTTGGTGCTGACAAATCTAATGATGCAATGTTGTTGCTGATAATGAACAAAGAAAACACAGCGCCTCACATATCGCCATCGTATTGCTCGTCTGTCTGTCGAAAGCATCCCAACACTGCCACCTGAATCCATTGTCTAGGGCGGAGTTGATCCTGAGAGTCACATTGTGTTGTGTGACATCACAGCTCACATTGACACGACCTGACAGAATCCTGTCGAAGATGTAACTGTTGCCTACACTGGGACTGGTGGAACTTTGTTTTGTGGTGAAGACTGGTGATACACCATCTCTGTTCCACTGTCTATCTTGTCCCCCAGTTGTGTTACTGCTGCAGATCAGGGTGAACAGTTCTCCGTCTGTCACTGTCATGGGGGAACTTGTCAGCACTAAAGAACCTGATAAAAATCGCACATGAAAAAAGATATCACAATCTTATTAAACCCGGGGACAAAAATAAGTTAGTAAGTATAATGTGATGTACAAAAGATAAGGATTGCTCGTATGGATCCTTCAGTCATAGCACATGGCTTGTATGCATTTACTTTCCACTTTCGCCTTCATCTTCATACTATGTATTTGACACATTATCGGATAGGGTTCCCACCTGTTCCTGTGATTTCCTGAACTGTTCTGTGGGTAATTATGTTGTTAAAATCATTAATCAACCTCACTGCATGAATGAAAGCAGTTTCATTTGATTCATTTGACATGCATGTGAAGCAGAATAAAAGCATTCGTGTGGCATACATGTAAAAACGCCTTTGAAGTAATTATGAACTTCATATGCAAATTTTGTTATCTAAACAGTTTGCCTGGAATATAATTCTGTCAACAATAAGAAAACATTCAGCCTTGCTTTGCATTTGTTTGCCAAAATGCTTGTAAAAAGTAGCCCTTCACGCAAAATCTAAAAGTCGCTCCATAAGGGAAATATTTGCAAAAATACAAATTTTTTCCTTCAGCATTTCCATGAATCCAACATTTTGAAATCCTGTGGTAACATTATTAATCAATATATTGTAAAAAGAGTTCATTGTATGGATGGAGAATGATAAATAAAACATTTTTTTTTAAATTTGGATTTTGCACTCATTGACCTTTGACCCCAATTTGTGACCTAATTAGGCATTTTTGAGCTTAGCAAACAACAGATTCGTATTCAGCACGAAAAACTACCCTAGAAAATGCTATTTGCTGGCTTTTACTCAAAAATGCCTCATGCATCATTAAACTCCACATTTCTTAGAAATGTGACGAGACGATAAGCGGGTGAGTTGTGACAGGCGCTGACAGTCTAAGGGAGATAACTTTAGCTACCTGAAGTTAGAATTAATGCAGACACTATCAGTGAGTTGGGATATATGCACGGCAACTGGTAAGTAGTAAATCTACATTATTGAAGCAGTTTTGTACATCTCACCAGGATATCTGGTGGTTTCAGATTATGTTGATGTACAGATATTGTAGAAACAGCCGTTTTGCGTCTGGTTACAGAATGTATGTTGTAACAGGCTGTGCTGAAGATTGATCTATCAGTTGGGGGAATGTCCAAACTGATGCATGTCTTGGGTGTTTATTTTGTTGTCGACCAACGGCTTGGTGCTGACAAATCTAATGATGCAATGTTGTTGCTGATAATGAACAAAGAAAACACAGCGCCTCACATATCGCCATCGTATTGCTCGTCTGACTGTCAAAATGATCCACACACTGCCACCTGGATCCATTGTCTACGGCGGAGTTGATCCTGAGAGTCACATTGTGTTGTGTGGCATTACAGCTCACATTGACACGACCTGACAGATACCTGTCGAAGATGTAACTGTTGCCTACACTGGGACTGGTGGAACTTTGTTTTGTGGTGAAGACTGGTGATACACCATCTCTGTTCCACTGTCTATCTTGTCCCCCAGTTGTGTTACTGCTGCAGATCAGGGTGAACAGTTCTCCGTCTGTCGCTGTCATGGGGGAACTTGTCAGCACTAAAGAACCTGATAAAAATCGCACATGAAAAAAGATATCACAATCTTATTAAACCCGGGGACAAAAATAAGTTAGTAAGTATAATGTGATGTACAAAAGATAAGGATTGCTCGTATGCTGTTCTGCATTACAAGTAAAGACATTTTTCCATGCCGTTAATGTCATCCCATATGAACGACTGTCTTTTTTAGTCTTCCTAATTGAAGGTTATTTCACCTTCTCGAATGTTTCTGAGTACATAGACATTCTTTCAATATTGAGAAGTAACTACTAATAACATGCTGATGAATTCATAGCTGCAGAGCTAAAGTGAGTGAGTGAGTTTAATTTTACGCCGCACTCAGCAATATTCCAGCTATATCGCGGCAATCTGTAAATAATCCAGTCTGGACCATACAATCCAGTAATCAACAGCACGAGCATCGACCTGTGCAACTGGGAACCGATGACATGTGTCAACCAAGTCAGCGAGCCTGACCAGCTGATCCCGTCAGTCGCCTCTTACGACAAGAATATGCATGGGTTACTGAAGGTTCATTCTGACCCGCATCTTACACGGGTTTGCAGCGCTAAAGACGTTGATTTAGTTTTCTGTTACATTAAATCCGAATCGGGATTCGAACCCACTGCCCTCAGAAAGTACTCAATGATGTATTCCGAAATACAGCATGTGTTACATCTGACCACTTTCTGAAAGGCACTGTGTATTGCATCACCGTTGTTGTGAGTCACATTAACACGACACTGCAAACATTGGATTGGAAGACTATTCTGCATGAAGAACATATGCACAAGAGTAAGTAGTTTATATTACGATACTAGTATCAGGTAGCTAACTGCATATGTCAGGAAAATACTAGTCCGTTTAACGAACACCCACCTACGTGTTCTGTGAAACCAACGAATGTCAGTAGCATCAGTCGTGAAATCCGATACATGACCATCCTACAGTCAGTGTGGTCCGTCTGTAAAATACACAGCAGTTGCTCATCCATTCTGTTATTCTACATATTGGTGACCTTAGCAGTTCCGATATTCCAGGACAGTGTCACAGTATGCAATCTCTTCTCTTATTTATCTCTGAAATAACGTTCTTTGATGTCAGCGTCTAAATCGCGTACTTTATATTACACATCTCTATCTCCCTGAGAGTAAACCTGTGTATACATGTAGCAATGACACAACACCCTGTAATCACTGTGCCGTTTATATTGACAGTAAACGAGTCGTGTGTACTCATGTAACGGATACTGATCAGGTGCAAAGGTATGTATTTTCTGCAAGTGAAAAAAAGCCCTCACTCCTATAAATACTTTGATACGTTGACCTAATGTGAATGCCAGAATACCTTCGAAATATTCCAGAATAATGCACCAAGGAGTGACTGAGTGAGTATGGTTTTACGCCACTTTTAGCAATATTCCAGCAATATCACGGCGAGGGACACCAGACACGGGCTTCACACATTGTACCTATGTGGGGAACCGAACCCGGGTCTTCGGCGTGACAAGCGGGCGCTCTGGCCACTAAGCTACCCCACCGCCCCTTGTACAAAGGTAGTGAGATGTAGAGATTTGTCCGGGTCAGTGTCACCATCCTCATCTAGCACTGCAGCACTAAAGGAACTAAAGGAACCCCGCAATGAAGACAATCATCCATTGGCAATCGGAGATGATGGCGCTTGGATGTAATCTTGTGTGTTTTAAATATGGGTCTGTTTCTGGGATTTGCTGACGTTTCAATTTCGGTCAGATACTTTAATTTTGACATGTCATCTGAGTGATTATTGCTCACATGCTGTTTGTCATTGTCATGTCAGACCACAGACTTAACGCCATGTTGACTGTGGTTATCTCAACACATACACTCGATTAGATTATTTCGTTTAAAGGTCATCAATAAGATAGAGAAGCATACGCTCAAACATGGACAATGTGAACATGTCTGTGCACACACATTAATCAAGGGTTCTTTGTTCTGTTACGCCCATTAATGATTTTATGAGCACTTCATTCAGTTTACCCTAATAGAGTTACCTCCCCCGGTGGAACTCTTCCGGAGGTGATAGACTTGTGATCCCTCACAACATGATGTCGTCTGCTTTCAGCAGCTCATATTTGGGGTAATTAACCAAGAATAGGCAATTACACAGTCCCCACAGTGGGAGTTTCATTCCCATTTATCTCTGTAAGGTTTTTGCCACTTTCACTATTACTTTTAGTCAGGAAATGAGCATTAAATGTAATTTGAATTTGTTCTGTGTTTTGGCTCTATTAGCAGAGGTCACACATTTTTACTTCACTGAAAATATGATTTTATATTTGAATTCTCTCTTTATTAATTCTTGATGTAGGAATCATTTCCATCAATTAAATGCATTCTTGTTCATATTAGAACGTCTAAATTAGCTTAAACATTTTGTACAGTTTTATTTCAATGACCTTATGAATTATCAAGTCATTACTGATTTATCTAGCCACTATTGTAGAACTAATTCGATCTTTTTATGTCCATTTCAGTCTTTTAGTACATTCTTGCTATTAGGTGTGCTGTTATGACTTCAATATTTACGTTTAACTTCAACCAAAGATAGTTCAAGTGCATATGTAACAGCTGCGATCACTCAACACAACGCCAAATAGGGCGGGTCTCCTAATCTCAGGTCCATTCTGACGCCGCCCACAGCCCTCGCGGTGCATTGCTCGGTTTCCCCAGACGCATCAGCAAGTTTATACCTTGGGAAGTGATGTCAATGTGACGGCAAGGGAAGAAATATTATCGTTATAACACTGCACTGAAATAGAGGATAATGTCAGTTACGACTTAAAACCGAGAGCATCGTCACCGTCAGTAAGATGAAATAACTATCATCTAACACTATTGTTTTACAACAAAGATCAACAATATTACTCCTCACATATCGGGTGTCTTGGGCCAGGTACATGTTTTATAAGTACAGCAGTTTTATAAGTACAGCCGTTTTATAAGTGCCGCCATTTTATAAGTACAGTCGTTTTATAAGTGCCGCCATTTTATAAGTACAGCCGTTTTATAAGTACCGCCGTTTTATAAGTACAGCCGTTTTATAAGTACAGCCGTTTTATAAGTACAGCCGTTCTATAAGTACCGCCGTTTTATAAGTACAGCCGTTTTATAAGTACAACCGTTTTATAAGTACTGCCGTTTTATAAGTGCAGACGTTTTATAAGTACAGACGTTTTATAAGTACCACCGTTTTCACTGGTATAAGACAATACCATGTCAGGGATACCAGGAATGAGCTTCAGACAACGTACCTAAACATAGAATGTGACCTGGGCGTGGGAGGGAACGCTTTAACCACTCGGCCACCTCACCGCCGGACCAAACCACCAAAGCCTTGACACCAGATGAAAGGTGTGGATTCGAGGGTCTAAGAGATCAGTTCGGACATATGTACCCAAGTAGCGTCTGCCACATCTGGCCTACTAGTGTCATGTAGGGATGAACGTCGTTGTTTTCTGATGCTACACTCATGTTCCAGAAGTTCAGGTAATACACATAGTGTGGTGTCTCTGTACCTCCACGGTGTTCACTGTGTAGTGTTGTAGCAGGCCGTGCATCTTGTACCACTGTCTGTATTCACGTAGTGTGGTGTCTCTGTACCTCCACGGTGTTCACTGTGTAGTGTTGTAGTAGGTCGTGCATCTTGTACCACTGTCTGTATTCACGTAGTGTGGTGTCACTGTACCACCACGGTGATCACTGTGTAGTGTTGTAGTCGGCCTTGTCTCCTATCTGTATTAACGTAGTATGGTGTCTCTGTATCACCACGGTGTTCACTGTGCAGTGTTGTAGTAAGCTCTGCCTCTTGTACCACTGTTTGTATTCACGTAGTGTGGTGTGTCCGTACCACCACGGTGTTCACTGTGTAGTGTTGTAGTAGGCCGTGCATCTTGTACCACTGTCTGTATTCACGTAGTGTGGTGTCTCTGTACCTCCACGATGTTCACTGTGTAGTGTTGTAGTACGCAGTGCCTCTTCTACCACTGTCTGTATTCACGTAGTGTGGAGTCTCTGTACCTCCACGGTGTTCACTGTGCAGTGTTGTAGTAAGCTCTGCCTCTTGTACCACTGTTTGTATTCACGTAGTATGGTGTGTCCGTACCACCACGGTGTTCACTGTGTAGTGTTGTAGTAGGCCGTGTCTCCTGTCTGTATTCACGTAGTGTGGTGTCTCTGTACCACCACGGTGTTCACTGTGTAGTGTTGTAGTAGGCCGTGCATCTTGTACCACTGTCTGTATTCACGTAGTGTGGTGTCTCTGTACCTCCACGATGTTCACTGTGTAGTGTTGTAGTACGCAGTGCCTCTTCTACCACTGTCTGTATTCACGTAGTGTGGAGTCTCTGTACCTCCACGGTGTTCACTGTGCAGTGTTGTAGTACGCTTTGCCTCTTGTACCACTGTTTGTATTCACGTAGTGTGGTGTCTCTGTACCACCACGGTGTTCACTGTGTAGTTTTGTAGTAGGCTGTGTCTCTTGTTTGTATTCACGTAGTGTGGTGTCTCTGTACCGCCACGGTGTTCACTGTGTAGTGTTGTAGTAGGCCGTGCATCTTGTACCACTGTCTGTATTCGAGTAGTATGGAGTCTCTGTACCTTCACGGTGTTCACTGTGTAGTGTTATAGTATGCCGTGTCTCCTGTCTGTCTTCAAGTAGTGTGGTGTGTCCGTACCACCACGGTGTTCACTGTGTAGTGTTGTAGTAGGCTTGTGTCTCCTGTATCCCTGTCTGTATTTACGCAGTGTGGTGTCTCTGAACCTCCACGGTGTTCACTGTGTAGTGTTGCAGTAGGCTGTGTCTCCTGTATCGCTGTCTGTATTCACATAGTGTGGTGTCTCTGAACCTCCACGGTGTTCACTGTGTAGTGTTGTAGTAGTCCGTGTCTCCTGTATCCCTGTCTGTGTTCACGTAATGTGGTGTCTCTGCACCCTTCACTGTGTAGTGTTGTAGTACGCTCTGCCTCTTGTACCACTGTCTGTATTCACGTAGTGTGGTGTCTCCGTACCACAACGGTGTTCACTGTGTAGTGTTGTAGCAGTCCGTGTCTCCTGTATCCCTGTCTGTGTTCACGTAATGTGGTGTCTCTGCACCCTTCACTGTGTAGTGTTGTAGTACGCTCTGCCTCTTGTACCACTGTCTGTATTCACGTAGTGTGGTGTCTCTGTACCACCACGGTGTTCACTGTGTAGTGTTGTAGTAATTCGTGTCTCCTGTATCCCTGTCTGTGTTCACGTAATGTGGTGTCTCTGCACCCTTCACTGTGTAGTGTTGTAGTACGCTCTGCCTCTTGTACCACTGTCTGTATTCACGTAGGGTGGTGTCTCTGAACCACCACGGTGTTCACTGTGTAGTGTTGTAGTAGTCCGTGTCTCCTGTATCCCTGTCTGTATTCACGTAGTGTGGTGTCTCTGCACCCTCCACGGTGTTCACTGTGTAGTGTTGCAGTAGGCTGTGTCTCCTGTATCGCTGTCTGTATTCACATAGTGTGGTGTCTCTGAACTTCCACGGTGTTCACTGTGTAGTGTTGTAGTAGGCTGTGTCTCCTGTATCCCTGTCTGTATTCACGTAGTGTGGTGTCTCTCTACCACCACGGTGTCCACTGTGTAGTGTTGTAGTAGGCTGTGTCTCCTGTATCCCTGTCTGTATTCACGTAGTGTGGTGTCTCCATTACCACCACGGTGTTCAGTGTGTAGTGTTGTAGTAGTCCGTGTCTCCTGTATCCCTGTCTGTGTTCACGTAATGTGGTGTCTCTGCACCCTTCACTGTGTAGTGTTGTAGTACGCTCTGCCTCTTGTACCACTGTCTGTATTCACGTAGTGTGGTGTCAGTGTACCACCACGGTGTTCACTGTGTATTGTTGTAGTAGGCTTGTGTCTCCTGTATCCCTGTCTGTATTCACGCAGTGTGGTGTCTCTGAACCTCCACGGTGTTCACTGTGTAGTGTTGTAGTAGGCTGTGTCTCCTGTATCCCTGTCTGTGTTGACGTAATGTGGTGTCTCTGCACCCTCCACGGTGTTGACGTACTGCCTAGGAGCCATGGCGTATTGGTGATCGACGTCCTCGTACGCTGATGTAGAGGCGTATACGTTTGTAGCTTGGGCATCTGAAACAAATAACACTTCAAATGTTACTTCAAGTACGGAGTGTATTTTATGACAAATTTTCGTTTGCGTCACTCGTGTCCTAGCATGTTTAGTGTACAAAGCATTCTTGTCTTTTAGACTGTCTAAGTCATTCTCATTCTTGTTTTTTTGTGATAACATCATGCATGTAACACCTATAACAAGGCATGTTCCACCTTTGGTCTTGTTCTTGTTGTGCGTCCACAGGGCGACGACAACGACAGTGACGACGCTGCCGAACACAGCACCGCCAACAGTTCCAGCTGCTACGTAGACGCCACTGGGGGAGGTAACACACGCTGTAAATGGGAAACAACAGTCACTATCCTGGGTCAAAATTCGAATTTTGTTAGGGCTCAGGGCTCACGCTACCAGAACAGAGTCGAAATTACAATCAGTGAACGGTTTCCCAACACGTGGACACAAATATCTCCCCGAATCTGTTGTCGTGCTCTATTAATGAATACTACAGACATTAATAACAGTGTTAAACTGAGTGGATGTAACATTGCTCAAACACACTACACTCTAAACAATAAACATAAAAACAACATTGTAATCGTTTAAGTGTATATACTTTATTTTTATAATGTATGCAATTTCATACAATGTGAAAACGTATCACTCCAGTTGTTTCAAGTCATTGCATATGTTTAACTGGTCGACTACACAACATGAAACAGTATATGTAACTCTGGTCAAGTTATACAACATTCTCGGTGTTTTCAATGATACTTAGTTCTGTGACAATCTTGTAGGTTGAGCTCCTGATTTCAGGAAGAGATATTGATAACTTTTAACAATTGATTCACTTTTCTAGTACTTTGTTTGTTATTATTATATGCCACATTTCTTTGGCGCCCTATATGACCTACTTCCAGATCACTCTAAGGCGCTTCACAAGTTGTTTTCCCCTCGATTATTGGATGTCAGTCTCAAACGTCACATTGCATTGTCAATGTCAACTCCCTGGGGCATCATACAACTCCTGCAGCCACTAGGCGCACCGAGTCAATGTGACTTTCGCTTCCCTACAAGGTACCCATTCACAGCTGGGTGGACTGGGACACATAGTCACAGTACTCTGTCCTAGTTTACTGCACGTTGCTGCACTCGCAACTAAGTGTTTGCGCGTGTTCATGTGGCCACCATCTGGTCATTTATCAACGGATTGGGTTGTTTAAGTGCTGTACACAGGGGTTGTGACAACACTGAGAGAGTCTGCACACAGGGTTGTGTACTGTACACTAGGGGTTGTGACAACACTGAGAGAGTCTGCACACAAAGTTGACTCCAAGGTTTTTACACCCGGTCACAGGTGGGCTCGATCCCGGCACCTCAAGCTCGTTGGATCACTAGCCCGGCGCCTTAGACAGCTTCCCCACCACGCCCCACGAAATATGTTTTTGTTTTACTTGTCCAGCAGATCTGGGTTATATCTGAAGGTAAAGCCAGCGTCCGTCACGAGCCTACCTGGACATTGCTGTGTCGTTGTCACAGGGGAAATACTGATGGACATACTAGTGTCACCTGGGGAACCTGTTGGGATATCATATGCTTGAAAACGGTAAAAGAATCTATACCAAAACATCACCAAAGTTGCGAAAATTCAGAAGTTGGTCATGCATAAAGTTTTGTCATCTCTGGTTGCTACACTTGGTTACAGAGAAAGTCATAATGTAACTGTAACTGTAATTGTGTTGAACAGAGAATACTGTACTCGTGGGATACCATGGAAGGTAAACGGGTTCCGGTAACACGGTATCTATAGTGGGGTGTGTATTATTTTTGTCACCCAATTCAAATGACACATGTAATACATGTATATATGACAATGTCTGTTTGTTTTAATGAAATACGTCGTCATATGAGCGAAATAGTCTCAAGCACGACGTAAAACCCAATTTCACCTCACCTCACCTCTAATGAAATACATGTACTGCTGAAAATCCGGTTGCGTATGAATATTGACATGTACTTTTCAACGTTTGCTAAGAATAAGGTTTTGATTATATCAAGCAATAATCCAGCAGATAAAGATTAAAATATCCCGGTACACGATGATAGGTAACCCCTACTGGACCTCAGTTTCAAGATGAACGAGCTGCAGATTGCCTTCTCCCGACATCCTGTCTCCCAACAACTGTTCAGGTTTGTTACTTTGTTATGTAACGTCGAAATCAGAAGTATTCCAGCTATATGGCGGCAGTCTGTAAATAATCCAGTCTGGACCAGATAATCCAGTGATCAACAGCATGAGCATCGATATACGCAACTGGGATACGATGACATGTGTCAACAAAGTCAGCAAGCCTGACCACCCGATCCCGTGGTGGAGTCTACTAATGCCTACAGTGAATAATGCCTACAGTGTTAAATAAACAACTTTACGCACCACTGCTGCTGATTGCACCTGCCTTCAACCTTTCAATAAAGTGGCATGGTCCTATTTCAAAGTGCACTAATGCCTACAGTATATAGAAAACAGTAACTTTCTATGTTGAGAGACATTTTATTTGGTCATTCATATACATATGTACAGTCATATACATATCTTTCACATTGTTGTCATATTTTTCTTAATTTTCTTAAACTTTATTCATATCTTTCACATAGTAGTTTGTTTTGAGATAAATAAATTTACATAAATAAACATAATCATTTATTTGGATTAAAATGTAATTAAAACTTAATTTGATTCATGTTTATATATACTACCACATTCATTAATAAAGTCATTGTGGTAACCAAAAGTAATTTACATGTATACACACAGTTTCACACATTCATCAACATAGTCATTTGGTTTTCAAGCTAGCTTGATCAAATATCTTGCAGCAGTCAGGAATTCCAGGGGTGTCTTGATACCAGATGTCAGCTGGGCCTTCAGACGAGTGAGTCTCTGGTCAATTTCTGTGTACGTCCTCTTGCGGGGTGGGGGACGGGCGCCATGAGCCATCTGCACCAGCTTATTTCTCTCCGCTTTCTCCAGCTTCTGCAGAACCTTCACAAGAGCGAAAATGTTCGGGTGGGCTCTCTGGACGGTCTTGTTGAGATGCGAATGCCAACCCTCGAGATGATTGTTCGTCCTTGGGCCGCTGGTGTCGTGGTGATTCCATAGTCCGGCTCGGAACCGTGCATGGTCGTCTACCCAGGTGCTGGTGATGTAGTCCTGGAACTCATCCTTCTGTCCAATGGCAGGGGCGTCGTCCATGACCTCTATCCAGGCATTTTGTACCATGGCCACTGGGAGGAGGTGGAGTGCTGCTGCTCGTCGGACCCATCTGTGGACCTCAGGATCCTGCTGGTAGGCTTCGCTGAAGCCGAGGTTCTGTACTTCTCCTCCAGAGAGCCTGGCTGTAGTGGAAATAGCATCCACGGACGTCGCAGTTGGGGAAGACGGTCTCAACAGCGTTGATGGCAGCGATTTCGAAATCCGTCTGGATGACATCAGGCTGAAGGGCGATCCGTTGTCTGCTGGATCTTGTCGTTCAGGAGACGTAGCAGGCGTTCATAGGTGCGGCGTTGACGATTCGGCAGTAGACAGAAGACCAACTGGGTCATCTTCCTCCGACTAGGCCATGGATGACGTACAGCTGATCCCAGAGAGGAGGACAGGAGTAGAAGGTGCCGTCCATGTAGAGGGTGTCCACTTCTTGCAGGAGGGTCAGGCGGTCACTTGTGGCGAAGCAGAGAATCTTGTCATCATCGCCGTCATCAATGCAGAGGAAGGGCAGTCCATCTGTAGTCTCCTTGAAGAAGTCGGGTAGATTCACCTCGCTGAGCGTCTGGGGAAGTGGCGGCATCATCTTACGTCTCTGCTTGTAGAGTCCACTCTTCATGGAATGGAACGACTTGACTGTTGCTGCTTCACCTCGGTCAAGTCGGGAAATCTCCTCATCGTAGATCACCTGAACTGGCGTCGTCTCAGTCTGTACCCGCTGCCTCAGAGAACTGGCAATCTTCAGGGCTACCTGGTCTTCTTGTGGGTGGTTGTGTGGGGTCTGATTCCGAACAAACTGTCCGACTGTCGTACACTTGCCAAAGCAGCCACCTTGAACACACTTCCAGTGTACACGTCTGTCGCCTGTTGTTGAGTCTGTGGCGGTATCCTCCAAGAGTACCTGCTGTCCTCCTTTCTGTGATGTGAAGTATTCGACTTTCTTGGGATTTGCCATGATTTGCAATGAAGATTTGTATCACAAGCATTTTAAAGCAATACATTTCCTTCTCCTTTAATAATCTCTCAATTAATTACTCTATTCTTCAATTTTAAAGCAATACATTTCCTTCTCCCTTTAATAATCTCTCTATTAATTACTTTACTCTTCAATTTCCTTCTCGTGTGAGAACTAAATGCGTATGGAATTATCAAAACATAAGCTAGCTAACGATTTAATACTCTTGATCTTACTCTTTACTCTCCTTGCTGGCCTCCCCTAATCCCTTTGTAGGCAATAGTGCACACTAAGTGGAACAATCTACTTGTGTGCAAGTAAGCGTATCGCTGTCACTGCAAACGTTGTAGCTATTATTCCCTGTAGGCATTATTCACTGTAGGCATTAGTAGACCTAACCGATCCCGTTGGTCGTCTCTTACGGAATGCATGGGTTGCTGGAGATTAATTCTAACCTTGGTCTTCACGTGTTCCAACAGCACTACAGGAGCCCAGCAATGAAGAGCGAGACAATCATCCATTGGCAATCGGAGATGATGGCGCCTGGATGTAATCTTGTGTGTTTTAAATATGGGTATATTTCTGTGATTTGCTGACGTTTCAATTTCGGTCAGATACATTAATTTTGACATGTCCTCTGAGTGATTATTGCTCACATGCTGTTAGTCATTGTCATGTCAGACCACAGACTTCACGCCATGTTGACTGTGGTTATCTCAACACATACACTCGATTAGATTATTTCCTTAAAAGGTCATCAATAAGATAGAGAAGCATACGCTCAAACATGGACGATGTGAACATGTCTGTGTACACACATTAATCAAGGGTTCTTTGTTCTGTTACGCCCATTAATGATGTTATGAGCACTTCGGTCAGTTTACCCTAATAGAGTTACCTCCCCCGGTGGGACTCTTCCGGAGGAGATATACTTGTGATCCCCCACAGCATGATGTCGTCTGCTTTCAGCAGTTCATATTTAGGAACCAATTAATCAAGGTTAGACAATTACACAGTCCATGAATTAATGCATTCTTGTTCATATTTGAATGTCTAAATAAGCTTAAACATTTGTACAGTTTTATTTCAATGACCTTTTGAATGATCATTACTGATTTATCTAGCCATTATTGTAGAACTAATTCGATCTTTTTATGTCCATTTCAGTCTTTTATACAAGACTGAATAACTGGTCACAGTACATTCTTGCTAGTAGGTGTGCTGTTATGACAGTAGCAAGGATCAACTTCAATATTTACCTTTAACTTCAACTAAAGATAGTTTAAGTGCATGGAACAGCTGCAATCACTCAACACAACGCCAAATAGGGCGGGTCTCCTAATCTCAGGTCCACATTCTGACACCGCCCACAGCCTCGTGGTGCATTGCTCGGTTTCCCAGACGCATCAGCAAGTTTATACCTTGGGAAATGATGTCAATGTGACGGCAAGGGAAGAAATATTATCTGTATAACACTGCACTGAAATAGAGGATAATGTCAGTTACGACTTAAAGCCGAGAGCATCGTCACCGTCAGTAAGAAGAAATAACTATCATCTAACACTATTGTTTTACAACAGAGATCAACAATATTACTCCTCACATCTAAGGTGTCTTTGGCGCCAAGTCTGAAGCCAGGTACGCGTTTTATAAGTACAGCCGTTTTATAAGTACCGCCGTTTTCACTGGTATTCGACAATACCATGTCAGGGACACCAGAAATGAGCTTCAGACAACGTACCTAAACATAGAATGTGAACTGGGCGTGGGAGGGAACGCTTTAACCACTCGGCCACCTCACCGCCTGACCAAACTACCAAAGCCATGACACCAGATGAAAGGTGTGGATTCCAGGGTCTAAGACATCAGTTCGGACATGTGTACCCAAGTAGCGTCTGCCACATCTGACCTACTAGTGTCATGTTGGGATGAACGTCGTTGTTTTCTGATGCTACACTCATGTCCCAGAAGTCCAGGTAATACACATAGTGTGGTGTCTCTGAACCTCCACGGTGTTCACTGTGTAGTGTTGTAGATAGATAGATAGATATTCTTTATTTCCTCCATAGTTTGCAGATTACAAAGTGTATGTATATTATACAGTCATATTAATGGTACATGATACAACAGAAATGCTCATGAAATAATTTATACAGGGTGGTAAGGTGAAATACAACAGTTATAAATATTTTTCCATTTACATACAGAATTTGAGACACATATTATAACATTTGCCCACACATCATAGTTTAGCTGGTCCTTTACATCTTTTGGTATTCCGCCAAGTAGAAATTTCAGAAATTCATCATCATCATCGTAGGTCCATAATTTTACAAAGATATTAACATCAAG